GTGATGGAGGTTGGGGAATTCGACCTGGGGACGAAGACGGGACGACGCGTTTCTAGTGCGTCGGACACGCGACCCCACCACCGAACCAGGGTCTCGATGCCGTCATGTCCCGCGCCCGATAACGATTCCACGTGCCTCTGCTCCACATAGTACTAATATAGTAAAAAAGCACCATGTGAATCGCCATGGTTACATGTTTCCCACGCTGTGGTTTTCTCGCCTTTTCTTGTCGCAATATGCGATGCAAAGTTTTGTCGGGGTGCAAACACTCGAATGGCGCCAGCTCTGCAACTTGCCGTGCAGCAGGTGGCGTCTCGCAAAAGCAACAAAGCAAACACGCATGACGATATGCACTCTGACAGAAAAGGGACAAGCTGGGATGGACGAAATTGGACGTACTGGGGTTTTCAATCCCACAAAGGCAAATAAACACGATTCAGTCCTATCTCCAACAGGTATCATAATCCGCCCATCCGTCGGAGAGCAATGTTGGTTAACAGCCGGCCTTCCATTTCCATACCCGAACCCTCCAACGGCTCGCCCCTGGACATGGCCAGCTCTGTCATGACTTTGCCCATCTCCCTAGTTGGTGACATGATACTCTTCCATGTCGTGTTCAGCACCGGAAGGAGGGCCTTCTTCCACATTTCTTGCTTGGGTATGAATGGATGGATCTCGGGGTGGGCCGACCAGTCCACCCCGCATGGCCGCACATTGTATACCTTGAACATGGGATTCTTTTTGCCAAAATCAAATAGCGCAGACTCGATCTGCCCCTTGACCCTCCCGTACAGCGCGGTGAACATACCAGGAGTCTGCGTGGCACCTTCACCCGACACATAAACAAACGTAAATGGCGAGTCTGGGTGGAGAGTGGAAAAGGCTTGGGCAGCCGCAAGAGGGTAATCGTGGGTTATTTGGAAATACTCCCTGCAACGAGTGTGAATACATATGTATGTAAGTAGGCCTGTGTCTGTGCATTGCCCAACCATGTACTATGTGTTGTACACACTTACTCTTTGCTAACGGCGTTCTGGGAGACTCCCTGTGCCCATACGCAACCGTGCGCGTCTTTCAGCTCACGCAGAAGCGCCTCGTCGTATTTGTTGAAGTCGTTGTGAATGATGACCTTGGCCTTGGCATGGCCCTCTGCCATCTTGACTGGTCGTCTGCTGAGGATGGATATGCGGCTGATGCCTTCTTGCGCAAGCATGTTGTGGAGGACAGACGCGCCAACAAGGCCTGTCGCGCCAGTGAGTATGAGATGCATGGCTGTCGCGGGGGGTTTGCTGGCTACGGTCCTGGGTAGTCGATGGGTGTTGGCAGGCTTTGCCTTGGGAAGCTGCGGTCGTCCATGTAGATATAGTCACACAGAACTGCAGCCAGCACCATGTGAATTTTCTATTCCCGGCAAAGGGAGCGTATCGCCGTGGGACAAGTGGATATGAAGCCCGAAGAGGAAGAATCCCGTATGGACATAGTGCTATGTCCGATTGAGAGGGTGTGCTGCGCCAGAAAATGGGGGCCGAAAATGGTCCGGTCCGTTGCCTGACTAAGCTGGCGGCGCCTCATTACGACACCGCCAGCGCTGCAGCCTGTGCCTGAGAAACACCGTAGCACGAACCTCATCCCCTAGCAGTGTCAGAGACGACACGTTCCCATCGCATGACTTGGCCGCATGAGGACCCGCACCAGAGACTCTCCGCAATGGGAGAGGCTCTGCTACATTGGCGGCCCCTGGCGATCCGATGCGGGCCGGGCTTTCGTTTTGCCCGGTCGCCAGGTAGGCGACAAGGTCCAGAGCAGCATGACTGATTGACTGCCCAACACTTTTGTCGCAACAAGTGGATATTATCCCTCCCTTTCCCCGTCTCTTTGCTTGAGCCCTTCCAGTTCTTCTCTTGTCGACTTCGTTGCTTCTCCTTCCATCGGCAGCACTCGCAGTCATGGCAGCCACGGCCAGGGCCCTGGCGGATTCTCGCATTCTTCACCTCATCTTACGTCACCTCTCCGACATGAAATACAAGGATCGCCGACAACGCGGATCTGATCAGCCAGTCGAACTTCTCGAATTCCGCCCTACCCTCGTGCCCTCGATTCTCGTCAACAAGCTGTGGGCGGACGAGGGCACGTCCATTCTCTGGAGGCGCTATCCCCACCTCCAGGCGCTGGACGACATGGCACCCACTCGACGGCAATGGTATGCGAACAAAGTAGAACGCCTGTTCGTCCTAGGCCCACCCGACGACGAAACAAACTTTGACTACTTGCGCGACTTGAACTGGCCCAACTTGAAGACGCTAGAGTTGGAAGTGGACTGGTGTAAACATGAAAAAGGAATTAACTCCATGCTTCACGCAGGGCTCCAGCATTTGGAATTCCTGGGTCCACAGAGCTGTGGCTCTGAATATATTGCTCGCACCATCCTGCCGGCTTTGTTTAAACCAAATCTGGTCAGCATACATATTGGCCCAGATGTAGTCGATCTCGAGGACCCACTACATCATCAGGTGCTACTGGATTTACTTGCTTCTGCGCCAAGTATCTCAGACGTTCGCATAATGAACGCTGGTTTTTCGGGAAAGGACGTCATCTTCAAAACCTTCAGTCAACGACTTGGCCTTGAAGCACTACAAATCGATCTCGACCCCGGTCTGCAGTTACTGCCTTACTTCTCAGGCCCAAATGCTCTCCCTTCTCCCTTCCTCTCTCTACGGCGTTTGCACATCATGTGCTACCCGGAGATCGCCCTCGCCTTACTACCTCAGCTGCAACTCATCGAAGATTTGCAATTGGACATTGCACGCATTCCTGACCAAGTGCAACACGAGGAAGACACAGATATTTTAAATCGTATCATTGTCCCGCTGGTACAATGTCAACAACTACAATCATTGAAGATCAATATCGGCCAGCTTGCGGTTGACTTTCCCTCGGCTACATCATGTCCAGCACTCTCTGGGGTCGCGCTCACAAACCTTGCCGCGAGCTGTCCGAAATTACAAGACGTCAGTTTATCCACCTCAGGGCCAGGGGGTATCAATGGATCAACCATTTCCAGTAGTCAATTTGAAACATTCTGCAAAGGCCTACCGGGACTTGTGAATTTGGAGCTGAAGTTTCATCCACAAACAGCGATCGACTTGGAGTTCACCGCACTCGGAAGCCTGGGGAAGAATTGTCATCAACTTGAGACTTTGCGCTTGAGAATATCTTGTCACCTGCCAGATCTGCAAATAGTCAAAGATATCTCGACACTGCAACCTACTGGCGAGTTCTCTCAAACCCCGATGAACACGAAGATTGAGCCCAGGACGCCCTCTATGACCGCCAACCTTGATGGAAGCGAATGCTTGCTTGGCATGGAAAGTCTTGCTTTATCCCAGACAAGTAACACGCCGCTTTTCCAGAACCTCAAACAACTTGCCTTCGCACGACCTCAGTCCATTCTGTCAATTGCGGGTGACACATATATATCATCATCTAGTTCTCAGACGGGTTCTGTGGTGGATCCCCTCGTAGAGCAGAGCCTCGTTCAGTCCTGGGCGCATCCACTTGCCACTCAATTCCCTCGTCTAGAAATTCTCGAAGCCTGGGGAGATTGGACGGGCCAGGATAACGAAACGCTCAACTACTTCCTACCACGTGAGGCACTACTTGCAACCATTTGGGAGTTCCTGAGCGGCGTGGAGCAGGATCTCTGGGACGAGGATGAAGACGTAGACGAAGACATTGACGAAGTCGGCAGCGGCTCGGATTGGATTGACGCGCACACGGACCGGTATAGCATCAATAGCTACACCAGCTTGGATTGGGATTTGGCCAGCCTTGTCAACGAGTTCCGGACCCAGGAAGACTTCAGTGGCCGCGCTTCTCTGGACACTTATGACGAAGAACCAGAGGACATGCTTACCCCCGGACCAATCCCGGGTAAAGACGAGGAGCCGTATTTTCGGCACTCTGATGCCAAGAACATTGCTGCATCTGGAGCAGGACCGGTCGACCTTGCTCCAGGCGCTGTCACTTGCTCAGTGTAGACATTTCTCCGCAAGATTGACTGATCAGATGTGAAACCTTTTGTACATGAATCATCACATGATGGCTTTCTTGTTAGAAGTGCTGCGCATAATTTCCATACACATGAATGCCCATATGCAACTTGTTCGACGGTAAGATATTTAGACGACTTGATGTAATCACGGTAGTTCAAAATAGAATACATGGAGTTGGGAGGAAAGGATATACACTATTTCTATATTTCCGTAAGAGAAGGTTTCACCATAGTTCATATTTGGGCCTCACGCTTCAACTTCTTCATCTATAACACACGCTATATAACACATACAAGCACAATCAGCACGAACATCAACGTGCGCAACCCGCAAACTATATCCGAAAACCCTTCAGCCTAGTTCCCTTCGGCATTTTTGTCAAACCCCAGGCACCAAGTGACCCAGGCACCCGGACTCCACAGAAGAGAAACACTGCACGTCTCAGTATTTCAAAGATCACCTTCCTCACGTCATTAGCCAAGCCAGTGCATAAAATTGACTTTGGTGAACCCCTGTACTCTCTCTTTTTCAAAGAGATCTGTTACTGCGTTTGGATCGAGAACCTGGGAAGGGTTGGGCGTGCGCGGGCAAGGCCACATTACCTTGGTTGGGGTTCCGCCTGTTGTTGTCTCAACCTCTGCATTTGCTCTCTACACACCACTTCTTTGTTTTTCTTTTTTGCAAGCGACGGGGAAGTCAAGACTGGATTCTTGCTCCTATGTGAAAGGGTGAAAAGAGGGGGGATACAAGACAAAGCAGCGGAATGCTAGGCTCGCGGACGGCCGAACTGAGGGCCCAGGAGTAAACGCTCCATTATTTTTTTCTTTATTTCCAAATTCTTGCCGCCAAATCAAGGCCAGTACGACTCGGCCTTACCATTATCGACCGGTTCGGGAGGAACGGGGTCTGAGAACGTGTATATCGGCGAGTACTAATATGCGGATACCGATGACTCCGCTTTCGACACTGCACCGTCTCAGCATCTCCGTTCTCGTCGTCAGTACCCTCACACAACAATTTGTTACAGCGATACCGCATGCTATATACCCGCGCCAGGCCTCTCCCATTGCTGGGTTACAGCTGCCAGGGTGTGCGCTGCGATGCTTGATTACGGAACTGGTACAAGATGGCTGTGCGGGTGAGGCGGACTTTACGTGCCATTGTCGGGGTGGGAAGTTGATGCAGGCTTCTTCGGCGTGTATTGCGCAAGGGTGCGGAAGTGTACAACGAGACGAGGCAGATGCGAAGGTTCAGGGATGGTGCAGGACTGTTATGGATGATGATGGCGGGTCATCGATCGCAAGCTCGAGTACAAGTGCGAGCACGGCGTCGAGTACGCCGTCCAATGGTCAAGAGGCTGTAGTGCCGAATCAGTCATCTACAAATACTGCGACAGTATCACAATCCACGAATACGATTCAGAGTACGGCACCGGCTAGCACACCGACCGGGACTCCTGTAAACCCACCACGTTCTTCGTCACAACCAGCCAGCGGAACACCCTCAGCTACAGGAACACCAGTACCCGCATTACCTGAGTCGGAACCACCCACACTCTCCCCAGGCGCAAAAGCAGGAATCGGTATCAGTGTCGCGATCCTCCCCATCATCGCCGGCATAATCCTCACCTGGTACATCCGCCGCCTAAAGCGCCAAGTGGCAGCCGCAAACACGCAACCATCACCACCATCCACCAACGAAGCCGTCCCACGCGGAAGCCAGGACACGGGCGCTTGGTCTACAGACGCCAACAATCCCTACCCCATCAGTCCCATGTCACCCTCGTACCCCGGCGGCATGCAAGAAACTACTGTCTCGAACATTGGATACGGCATGGTGATGAAGAAGCGGGGGCACGTGCTCAGTATCCTGCTGGAGCGCGACGACGAAGACGCGAATAGTCTCCGCGTGAGAGAGCCTGTGCCGGGGCAGAGAGAGGGACTCGCGGGACCAGTGGAGCTGGATGGGATTGGAGTTGCGATTAGTGAATTACCCGCTACGAATACACCGAGGAGGAGTTTGGAGCGGTAGATGTTGCGTGTAACATGTATGAGAAAGAGAGAAGGAGAGAGTCTGGATACTCTGGGTTATTCTTTAAAAAGTAAATATTGAAAATATTTGAAATATTGTGGGTATTCTTTGCCCGTGCAATGACTGGGATGTGAGAAGGTGATTCGGGGCGGAGGAGAAGTGAAGGTGGAGAGACGCTGGTGATTCACTCTGTTCGTTTGTCCATGGTGATATTGTGACTGCTTCATTCACTATCTGCCTCACTGTTTGCTTTCGCCAGCAAACAACAGTGTATTTCAACACCCCCTCTCCAATCCCTTACCTCTACCTCTATCAACACACGCTTTTCTCAATTAACAGCACACCATCAAAACATAATCAACTATGCATTTCTCCAACATTCTCCACTCTTTCATGCTCGTCTTGCTATTCGGCTTCGCCACTGCACTTCCTACAGATATGAGCTCCACCACGCACTCTGCAGCCATCGCCAACAACCGTCTCACACTTGAGGCGCACGATGGAGCTTGTAGCCCCAAGTGCAAGCAGGAGTTTGATAGTTTGCAGTCGTGTCGCTGGGTCGAGTATTGCATGTTGAGTAATCGGTATAACATCAAGTTGCGGGCTTATGTAAGTTCATGGATATTTCTTTCCTTTCTAAATTACTTGTTGTTTTCTTGGAGGGTTCGAGGAAAGGGAGACATGGACTAATGGGGTATACTACAGGACAACTGCTGCAAGCTTGTGCATCCGCCCAGTGCGGTTGACGAGAAGACGCGCGAGACTTTGGAGAAGTTGAAAGCTAAGACTGGGTTTAAGCCGGAGACTAAGACTGGTGGGGTGTAATTGGGTGGGTGCCTGGGTGCCTGAGGCGTCGAGAGGAGATGGAGAGGTGGGGTGCCATTGTGGGTAATGGCAGTCTGGACTCGGTATAGATATGGGAATGCGGGCTTAGAGAGCCGGGATGCGCAGTATGCCGTGCTCTAGGTTTCGATTGAGGGGTATCCTCTCAACGGTAGAGAATCGAGTCATAGTACAATCAATTTCTCATTGACATGACTTTATGAAGTAAGTATGCAATTGGCTATATTGATAGTGCACGTGATTGTCGCCAAGACTTGCCGCATCGGGTTGCGCAACAGAAGGCTGCCACAAATACTAACTCTAACGTTCTGACCCTCTGAACCCTCCTTCTTACACATGCTGTCTACGTAGACGAAAGTATCCCAGATGACTGGTAAGGCTTGCAAAGCTTGTGCGGCTGCCCTGTCCAATTCCTACGAGCTCGCGTCGGCCCTTCTGATCCGTCTTACAGGACCGAATCATGATAGGCCGTTGTGTGGCTCGAAAATCGATGACGCGCATGTGATTTAGAGCAAAGGGCACAGCCTCACCAGGGGGCTCTACGCGAGGTCTTGTCGTCTCCATCGGCCATCGCGATTCTTGAGCACCCGAGCAGCGGCTCGCTGGTCACCAGCAAGACTCGGCGACTGGGCGTGGTCTGGGCGGATGTAATGGCTGTCTCTGCCACCGAGGCACTTTTGCTACGGTAACAAGCACTAGAAAAAGGACTTTTGCTATATGTACCTCACCGCTATGCGCACGACATTCACGATCTCTACATGTCGAAGTAGGAACAAGATCGGGTAGATTGTGCGACGGAGAAACATTCTGGTTGCCACGGAGTTGAGAGAGAAGAGAATAGCTCGGGCCAAAGAGCAGTCCACTTTTTCTATGCGCGCCTTTGGCACCCCGCCGGCACGCCAACACCGATGGGGTTCATAACGCGCGCACATCAACAGGGATGGTGCGTTTTCAGGGCGTTCGACAAGACGTCTTCTGCTCGGCGTCGTGCCATATACGCTGAGTACGACGGGGAGATGTTGGCCAACGAGTTTGCCTCCACTAGCTAATGACATGTCTTCTTCTTCCTGCTTAAGTCGTTCTCTTCCACTTTCTGTTGGATACCCTTTTTTTGCTTGTTTCAGAGCTGAGGAATACGCCAATTAGGCACACCTCTATTAGATACGACAACTAAATCACGGTTGCGACAAGAGCAGCGGAACAGCGAATTACGGTTGCGGCAAAGGCAACAGAACAGCCAAGTACGGTTGCGATGAGACAGCACTACAACGAATCATAGCTGCAACAAGAACACGCAGTGTAGCAAAGCGCTCCGATACCTATAACTTCGTCATATCGTCCGTCCGTCCGTTTTTCCCATCGCGTCACCGAACGGGCACATACAGCCATCATGGCTGGCGCAATCGCAAGTCAGACATGGATCCTCACAAAGAAGACACTGCTCGTCGTCTTTGTGCGCCACTGGTTCTTCACGAGCGTGCGCGCATTCTGGGCTCCCATCATTTTTGTACGCCTTTGGGTCCTTTACAACACACTGCTGGCTAACCATGACGCACGCAGATGTTCTTCATTACCTACGCTAAGAACTTCTTCGTACCACCCTCTGAGTTCGGCATCGGCAACCCGTCCCCCATTCGAACCTTTCCCGACGCTCTCGCTTCTGCTCAAGGCGGCCGTGACAAGGTCGTCTTCATAAACAATGGCAACACTGGTGGTCAGATTGATCAGGTCATCGACCAACTATCTACAACTGTACGCGACGCAGGACTGCAAGCTATTACGATAGGATCTGAAGTGGAGCTGCTCACAACCTGTGCGAGCTCATTGCGCGGTGCCAGTACTTGCTTTGGCGCTGCCTCTTTCTACTCCAGTCCAAATGAGGGTCTAGGACCGGTCTGGAACTACACACTTCGATCAGATGGCGCCCTTGGAGAAAACATTTACGTGGACCAAAAAGACAATGATGTCCAGATATACATTCTTCCCTTCCAGCGCGCCATTGATCAAGCCATCGCTTCTGTGGACGGATCTAGACCAATTCCTGAGACCAACGAGTATCCCTATACCGACAAGACCCAAGAGGAGTACGACGACAGAATTCGAACACTCTTCATGGGCGCCCTTATTAACATCATGGGCGCAGCGTTGTACATTGGCATCTGCGGTGTGACGTACCAGCTCACGGGACAAATGGCCGAGGAGCGAGAACGTGGGATTTCACAGCTTGTCGAAGCAATGTCTCCTGCGAAGAAGGCTTGGCACACGCAGTTTGCGCGCCTCTTATCCATGCACATCGCTTTCGACATAATCTACTTTCCTGGATGGGTCATTATGGGAGCCATTGTCTGGGCTGTCGCCTTTTCGTCTTCGAATCCCATCATCTTGATCATCTTTCACGTTCTGGCTGGACTGTCACTAACGAGCTTCTCCATCTTTGGCGCGGCGTTTTTCAGAAAGGCACAACTATCCGGTATCACCATTGTCATGATTCCCATCCTTTTGGCTATCATTGCACAGGTTGCTGGTCCATTCAGCACCTCCGCCGTTTATGTGCTCAGTTTGATCTTTCCGTCCATCAATTATGTCTTCTTCACCATTTGCGTGGCGCGGTTCGAACGACAACTCGTTGCCATGAACATGGTTGAAGCCCCACCAGTCTACGAAGATCACGTGTGGAGGACTCCTGGTATTGTCTTTTGGGTTTTCGCGATTATTCAAACTTTTGTGTACCCGTTCCTTGGTGCTCTTGTCGAGCGATGGCTCTACGGTACCGTATCAGCTGACAGGAAAACTACAACTTCGTCGCCGGATCACAACATCATTCTTACAAACTTCTCCAAACACTGGACTCCTAGCTGGTTCCGCAGGAATGTCTTGTCCAAGTTCGGAGTAAAGCCCCCAGAGACGGTTATTGCTGTAGACAACTTCAGCATGAAGGCGCGCAAGGGCCAGATCATGGTGTTGCTCGGTGCAAACGGTAGTGGAAAATCTACTACACTCGACGCTATTGCTGGTCTCAACTCTATCACTAGTGGCGCCATCGAGATTGATGGTACTGGTGGTCTTGGTCTCTGTCCCCAGAAGAACGTCATGTGGGACGAACTCAATGTTTACGAGCACGTCCGCCTGTTCAACCAGCTCAAGTCCACTGGCGAGTTCGACTCGAAAGACAAGATTGAAGATCTCATCCGCGCTTGCGATCTAGGTCATAAGATGAAGGCGCAATCAAGCACACTTTCTGGTGGCCAAAAGCGAAAGCTTCAACTGGCAATGATGTTTACTGGTGGTTCTAAGGTCTGCTGCGTCGACGAAGTCTCATCTGGTTTAGACCCCCTTTCTCGACGAAAGATCTGGGAAATCTTGCTTGCTGAGCGTGGCGATCGCACATTCTTGCTTACTACCCATTTCCTCGATGAAGCAGATGTTCTTGCTGATTACGTCGCTATTCTCTCCCGCGGTGTACTCAAGACTAAGGGCACATCTGTCCAGCTTAAGCATGAGGTCGGCGCTGGATACCATGTCACCTATCCCAAGAGCGCTCTAGTAAAACCACCTGTTGATGCAGTCAAGAAGCCTTCACCCTCAGAAGGCATGGTTCAGTACCAGTTCGCTGATGCGCTACCTGCGACTAGGTTTGTGGACATCTTGAGAGACCACGGTGTAAAGAATTACGATATCGTTGGGCCAACGCTCGAAGACGTGTTTCTGGCGAACGCTGAAGAAGTCAAGGAATATAATCTCATGGATGCCGAGCATGGCGAGCACGCCGATGATTCTGAAAAGGAGGCCGATGTGCCTTTGGATAACATTTCGGACTCGGAGAAGAGACTTGACATGGGCAAGGGCCGCGGTACAGGACTGTTCCAGCAAGTACTGATCCTGATACAAAAGCGAGTCACCATCGTCAAGCGCAACTTCTGGCCTTATGTCTTCGCACTGATTCTCCCTATTGCTGCCGCTGGCTTAGTCACGCTCTTCCTTCAGGGCTACGAAGCTGTCGGTTGCGATCCGGGCGCCGCTTCCAACGACCCGGAAATCTTTTCACTTTCAAGCGCAAAACGGATACCACTGATCCCAATCGGACCGCGTAGCACGGCCGGCTCCGCGGTAGAGACAATCGCCCAACGGTCTGGTGTTCGAGAGAACGCCTTCAACATTGTGGATACGCTTGACGATTTCAATGGCTTTGTACAGACCCGCTTCCGCAACATCACGCCTGGCGGTTTCTTCCTGAATCAAAATGGTCCGCTTCTCATGGCGTACCTCGGAAATGGCGGTGTCGTTGCTGGTCTGATAACACTCAACACGCTTGACAACATTGCTAGCAACATTACAATTGCGACGCAATACCAGCAGTTTGCCGTGCCGTTTGCTCCTAATATGGGAGACACTCTCCAACTAACACTTTACTTTGGCCTTGCCATGTGTGTTTACCCGGCCCTGTTCGCTTTATACCCCACGCAAGAAAGGTTGAGGAATGTTCGAGCTTTGCATTACAGTAACGGTATTCGTGCTGTACCTTTATGGGTAGCATACACAGCTTTTGATTTTATATTCGTGCTTATAATCTCTGCCGTCACAACAATCATCTTTGTCGCAGTAAGTCCATCAAACATTTGTGGGTGTAACACACACTGACCCTAATTTAGGCATCAAGTGCATTTTATGCGCCGGGATACATCTTCGTCATCTTCTCCTTGTACGGCTTATGCGCAATTCTCTTCTCATACCTCATTTCGATCGTTGTTACTTCGCAACTTGCAGCCTTTGCGTTCGCGGCTGGAGGCATGGTCTCGCTTTACCTCATCTATTTCATTGGATACATGGCGATTCTCACCTACGCCCCTGCTTACGCTATAGACTCGTACATCGATTACTTTCACTGGACCGTCTCAATCATCTCGCCCTCGGCAAGTTTGCTGAGAACGCAGCTGCTGTCGCTCAACTCATTCAGTATTCTGTGCGATGGTACCCGGATCCCAAGTTACCCCGGTGCCATCACTGTCTACGGCGGCCCGATCTTGTATCTCATTGTTCAAATCATCCTTCTCTTTATTGCTTTGGTCTGGTGGGACTCTGGATACCGACCCCCATTCCTCAACCGCGACAAGAGCCGCCAACACCATTCTGAGGAGAATGTGGAAAACATACCACCTGCAGTTGCAGCGGAGATTGCTCGTGCCGAGCAATGCAAAGACAGTCTTCGCGCACTGCACCTTCACAAGCAATTCGGCTCGAACCACGCTGTAAACGACATCACATTCGGTATTCCTCAAGGTCAAGTCTTCGCACTTCTAGGTCCAAACGGTGCTGGAAAATCTTCTACTATCTCACTTATCCGTGGAGATATCCACCCTACAACTCACATTAACGGCGGCGGCGACGTCCTCATCGAAGACATCTCCATTGTCAGGAAACGCGCCGCTGCCCGAGGCAACCTTGGAGTCTGCCCACAATTCGATGCCATGGACACCATGACCGTTACAGAGCACCTCCACTTCTACGCTCGCGCCCGCGGCGTGACCGACCCCAAAGCCAGCGTCGAAGCCGTCCTTCAAGCAACCAGTCTGACCCGCTTTGCCGACCGTCTCGCATCGAAGCTCTCCGGCGGCAACAAGCGTAAATTAAGCTTAGGCATCGCACTCATGGGCAACCCGTCCGTCCTCCTCCTTGACGAACCCTCAAGCGGCATGGACGCAGCCGCCAAACGAGTAATGTGGCGCACGCTCCTCGGCGTTGCGGCACCGGGCCGCGCCCTCCTCATCACCACACACTCGATGGAAGAAGCAGACAAGCTCGCCACCCGTGTGGGTATCATGAAACGCAAGATGTTGGCGCTCGGCACCGTGTCAGATCTTGGTGAGCAATACGGTGACGCGTGGGTTGTTCAACTCGTGCTCAAATCCGCGCCTGAGACTACCGAAGAGGAAATGGAGCAGGTTAAGCAGTGGGTTGCGCGAAGTATCCCTGGTGTTCAGTTTGATAAGTGGGGGTCTAGAGGGGGTGGACATGGGCAGTTGAGGTTCAAGGTGCTTAAGGCTGCGGCGACGGAGTCTGCTCACTTGGACAAAGAGGAGGGTAAGGTTGCTGATGTGGATGTGATGAGGGTTGGTTCAAAGGAGTCAGCATCGGATCTTGGTGGTATTCCTGGGTTGATTCAGCTGCTTGAGACGAATAGGGAGGTGTTGGGCTTGGAGTATTATTCTGTTTCGCCCACGACACTAGATGAGGTTTTCCTCCGCGTAGTTGGCGAGGAAGAGGAGGAAGAGAAGGGGAAGACGGGGGGTGCGTCGAAAGTCAAGCGTCTTTTGACTTGTGGGCTTGCTCGTTCGTAGATTAATGAGGTATAGAGACGTGTGGGGGTATACATTGAATGCGTTTTGCTTTTCTTCTTTGAACATCCTATGTAGTAGGTAAATTACAACGATACCAACTTTGAAACTTCCTACACATCTTCCCTTGTTTTAAATCGCGTGACAGCCTCACAACACCTTCTTACTCATAACAACATACTCAGCCCTAACCACCTTCCTCCGCATAACCCTATCAACAGGACTACACTCATCCCTCCCATACCCTAACTTCTCATACATCCTCTTCGCCCCCTCGTTCGCTACAAAGACCGTTAGCATCGTCTTCTCGATACTACAGGCCCGCGCGATGGCTTCGACAAACGTCATCAGCCGGGACCCGAGACCCTGGCTGCGTAGAGTGCGGGAGAGGTGGATTTCGTAGATGTAGAGTACGGCGCGGTCTTGGTGTGGGGGGTCGTCCCAGGTGAACATGAAGGAGATGAAGCCGAGGATGGGGGGGTTGGGGGATGCTGGTTGTGGGGGAGGGGTGGGGGTGGAGGGGGAAGTGTAGGTTTGCGCGAGTTGTTCGAGGTCGTCTAGTTTTGCATGCTGTTGGGGTGATGGATCCAGCTTCCGTCTTTTGGAACTACTTGTTTCTTCATCGCTAGGCTGTGTGTTTTGTGAGCGCGTGGCTTGCTCGGCTTGATGTTGTTGGTCTTTGTGGTCAGATGCAGACACTGTGTTTGTATTTGCTTGGCGGACGAGTAGGTATATCATGTCCTTGTCCATCATTTCTTCTCGCTTCTTGCGCGTGTTCCAGCCGATTCTTGAGGCGCGGTAGTCGGCTCCGGATGTTTGCTCGACGAGGTCGATGCAGGCTTGGAGGTCCTCTTCTTTGAGCTGGGTGGCTGAGGTTACGAGATCGAATTTTAGTGGGAATGGTTGGTTTGGTGACTCGTAGGATGTGAAGCCGACAAGTTTGTCTTCGAATAGCATTTTTACTGTAAGTGTACGTTGGACGGCGTGAGGCATGTTGATTGTTTAGGGCCTGTCAAGGCGAATTGGCGGAGAAGAACTTGGATTTTCTGATCCAGTAGAAGGTTGGTGGCTTGGATGGTAATTTCCTGATTGAACCGCCCGAACAATTATTTCATTCAACTGCGCTGTATTAACAAAGGTGAATGGTTTGCGATTGGCCCCTGTGCGTGTATCGCTGGTGGGGTGATGGCGCGTTGTGGGGAACGCGTCGCGGGGCTGGTCATCATTCTGATTTGAAGTCTACGTAGTACAAAGTAAACCGGAAGGCGGTAATTGGCCAACTTCTATGGAATACTGAATTCTTTGATATCTATCACGCTATCTACGATCACGTATTCTATGACCAGCAAGCCTAGCTACGCGTCGCCATCCGATCTCGAGTGCGAGTCGTTGTCTGCCGCGGTCCCACGTCGGCGTCGTCGCGGATCTAGCGCCACCACGGTCTAGTTCATCTCTTTACGTCAGTCTGCATCAGTGTGAAGAGCCTCGTTCATCCTTACCAAACCCCATTTTCGTCAGTGTTCCTGCATCTTCAAGTACAGGCAAATTGTGTTTGTCGGATCGCATCGAGGCATGCTGCGACAATATGCGACAGTAGCGTCCAAGCCTCTTTCTCGGCTAGGCGCTCGAGGGAAAAGTCCTGTTAGCCTCGACCACGTACGTGATACTTGCATGTTCGTAAGAGCGAATCGAGACGGGCTGACTTCCACGCAGTTCATTCAGCGACAGCGCGTGCTGGCATTGTGGCGAGACATTGTTCGGAGTACAGCCAACATCCCCGATGAAGCGGCAAGGAAGGACATGCGACAGTTTGCAAGATCGGAGTTTGAACAGCATCGTCGAGTGACTGACCTAGTACGCAAACAATCATGGATTGATATGTATCCTAGCTAATCGCTCTGTAGGGCCACATTCGATACCTGATTTCCGTATGTTTCTTCACAGCATCACAGCGCCTATTCAGTCTACTAACTCGATCGCAGCATGGAAAAACGCAATTCCAGGCAATGAGAGACACTCTTATTAACTCTGGTATACTCACTGAATAAAATCTATTTCATACATCGTTCCTGCAGCTGTCTTCGTGCTCTATGTTGAACTATGTTTTCATTGGTCAATTCTTCGAGGGGCATTCGTTTAGCGCCTCCAACACTAGCATCAAGCACCTCAACACCGTCTTACTCTATTCCACTTTTTTACACTTGTAACACTATTTTGACTTACACCCAACCTTTGAGGTGTTTCAAATCTCCCATTCTGCACTGAGCACATATTTTTCATCACAAAAGGCCCCCTGAAATGGCACTTCCTTCAGAAACCTCGGTGTTGATCGTGGGCGCCGGCCCCGCAGGATTAGTCACTGCAAAGACATTAAAACAGGCCGGGTACACTGTCACCGTTTATGAGAGAGCCAAGCGGGTTGGAGGCATGTGGAGGGATGAGCGGGGAGGACTTGGCGATAAATGCAGCCCAGATATGCGAACAAACCTCAGCAGATTCACAGTGGCTCTTCCTGATCTTTCGTGGAAATCCGTTGACACAGACGCTCTGCAATCTGGTCCAAATGCACCATTCATGTTCCCAAAGGCTTGGCAAGCTGGGAAATACCTTGAGACTTACGCGGAGACTTTTGGAATCATTGAAAATATCATCCTCGGAACGCGTGTCGTCGATGCGCGTCTACAAGACAACCAGACTTGGAAGGTAACCAGTGACGATGGATCCGGAAGGCAGAGCACTATCACGTTCGACCGTCTCATCATCGCAAGTGGCTTCTTTGGCAAACCTTGCAAATCCTTTGATCCCTCGCCATCCAAGGACTTGCCAAATATTAAGCACTCTTCTCGTTTTCGCAATGTATCTGAGCTGAGTGGGCGGTCCGGAAAGATTGCTGTCATTGGAGGGGGCATCAGTGGCTCAGAAGCAGCATCACAAGCGGCCTTTCAGATTTCAAATGCACAGCATTCTCCTAGTAAAGAAAAGCCTGTTCATGCTGCAAGCACAGTCTATCATATCTTCAATAGGCCATTTTATTGCTTGCAGCGATATCTGCCTCAGAATCCGCAAGACAAAGAAGGAAAATTCAACCAAGCGCCAATATTTCTTCCCCTTGATCTCGTTCTCTACAATCTCTCACGGCGCGGCGATGGAGAGATAACAGCAGCCATCGCCACCGTCCCACCCGAGAAGGCAAAAAAAGGTCATGATTTTCTGAGGTCGAGTTTAGGAGGCGACCAGAGTGATTTCGGGTACCCGAAGCTGACATACGATGCGGAGCACATGCAACATCCTGGGTACACGGGTATCACGGATACGTATATGGAGTTTGTAAGAGATGGGACCATTGTACCAGTGCAGGGTTGGGTGGATAAGGTCAATCAGCAGTCGGACAGCGATCTTTTTGACATCGAGCTAAAACAGTACAAGCCGTGGTATCATTCTCCTGAGCAGGAGGCAGCTGTAAGCTGTTGCTCTTTCAAAAAAAAATTTCAGAATCACTGATGTTTTTTACTAGGGCACCAGCAAACTCACTAACGTGACTGGTATAATCGAAGCTACGGGTTACAAGACTGACCTAGACTGGCTTGACCCTCAAGTGAGGGAGCTGCTAAACGACAAAGACACACCACCAAATGCAAGAATACCATTCGTCCTCTCACGCGGCTCAATATTCGCAAACAAATTTCCCACTCTTGGCTTCGTTGGATTCTATGAAGGACCTTACTGGGGAGTAATGGAGACCCAAGCTCGTTTTCTCGCAGAAACCTGGGCCAAGCAGGAAATAACCACGCTTCTCGAATCTCCAGACCGTGAGATCTACAAGCCAGACGCTGCAAAGTACATGCGCGAAGCCATGAAGAAGGACCCCCTTCAAGTCCCGCAATTCTGGATGTCAGACTACGTCGGCCTGATTGAAGAATTCGCACGGGAAGCAGGTCTCTTACGCGACGACTCCGCCTTCGAAGGCAAACAAACCGGTCCTGCATTCCCCTCACGCTACCAAGGCGCAAACACTGGGCCCCAAGCCAAAGAAGTCGTCCAAGAAGTTGCCGAGCTGATCAAAGCATCCTCTGAAAACGCGCGCTTCGTCGCAGCCGCCGTCTTCACAGCCATGCAAGGCATCTGGAACATCCATCGCAAAATCGAATCCCGTACCAACACCCCGGGTGGTATCTTTACCGGCACAGCGTATTTCCATCCGCGCGACCCTACAGATCCCACACTCTACTCCGCAGAATATCTCTATGTTGAAAACGGCACCTTCACCATAGACAACGGTCTTTCCTTCCCCGCAACCCGACGCTACGTATACCGGTACTCGGAGGCCCGGGATAAAATCACCGCGTGGTTCGTTGGCGAGGACAACGAGAGCGTAAGCGCGCTGTTCAATACGTGGGAGTTTTATGCGCCAGAGGATGAGAATAGTGGGTGGATGGCAAAGGGGTATCATTGGTGTGATCCCGATACGTACAGGAATACGTGTGAGTTTCGGTTTAGAGGCGTTAGGATTGAGCGGTTTATGGTGAGGTACGAAGTGCAGGGCCCGAAGAAGGATTATCAGCATGAGAGTTGGTATGAGAGGCCTAGGGCGGAGGATTTGAAAAGGGGGGGTACGTGATATAGCAGTGGTATTTCAAAGTGGTTGATTGGAAAGGGGTATCATATTCTACTTGTTGTCGTTTCTATCGTACAATGTTTTTTCGAGCACAAGGGGAGTTTAGTATTCTGCGCCTCCATTTGCAAGCGTACTGGGATGTGTAGGTGGTCCGTCTCTGCCAACACTGCTCAAGTCCGCGAGGAGAATCTTGAGATGATTCTGTCGATTTTGGTTACTGCTCCAGGTGACGGCTTGGGAATAGTACAAGATATCCCACGCCTCATCACTAATGTTTTGTAGGAAAGTTGGTAACGAGCGCGCTTTCTGGTACGAGCGCCAAAGTATACGTCTGATGTCGTCGTTGGCGCCAATGTACGCGAACTGGATTGCTTGATTGAAGGACTTGAGGGCAGGCGAGATATTGAATGGGGGTGGGAGGTGGACGCAAAGGCGGTCGAGAGCAGCACTATGTTCTGGATCCTCGCGAGCCATGACCATGCGTTCCTTGAGTGTAGCAGTGCGACTGTCATCGAGCTCGTATGGATCTGGCGCCGTCTCGTGCGCAAGAGTTGTCAAGTCGCCTGGTTGCGGCTTGTGCTCTGAGATGAGTTTTTGGATATACATGAGTTTCTCCATAAGTTTAGGATCTTCCATGATTTTGTCGACCTTGGCTTGTAGCTCGGCAGGTACTTCTTCCTCCTCCTCTTCCATCTGTGGGGGCTGCGATGCTTTGGATAGAGCAAGCTTCTTTAGTTCTTCAGCCAGTTCTTCGGGATCCATTTCGCGTTCAAAGACGCCTTCTTGATCTTGTGTACCTGTTGGGTCCTCCCTGAGTGCTGCGTCGAGTTCGGCCTCGAGGTTGGAGTCGCCACCCAGTGACTTCATGACATCGCGCATCTGATGCAAAAGTTTGTCTACATCCTGCATGTCTTCTGGTGTTGGCATGGCAAGGTCGTCATCTGGCTTTTCGGCTTCGACGATGGCATCACTGGTGTTTCTCTGGTATTGCTCCCACTCTTCCTCTAGTTCCGCATCGTCTACATCTTGGTCCAGTGCAGCAATTTTCTTCTTCATGGCCTCATTGCCTTCTAGCTTAGCCATAGCCTTTTGCAGTATTTGTTGGAACTCGGGGCTGTCAATGTCCTCCATTTCCGGCATCTTATCAATGACTTCTTGTAAGTCTGCCTTTGCATCGCCAATGTCTGGGTCGTCGATGAGTTCTTGTATGGCCTCGTGTGTGGCCATTCGAAGACCCGCATTAAACTCTTTGCTGCTTGCTTCAGCCTCGAGTGCATCTTCTTCATCCATGGCTTCAAGCTCTTCCTTGGATTTGATGCTCTGTTTGATATCCTTCAGCTCTTCAGTCAACTCGGCGAAGTTTGGGTTCGAGAGGAGGCTGTCGATGAGGCGCCGGTTCAGTTTGGCATCGTCGTAGTCGGGGTTCCTTTGTGACTCTTCTATCATAGTATACATCTCTTTGTCCTTCTTGCGGTCCTCAACAGTTGCTATGCGCTCAATGAGGCGCTGAGGCGTGCCCTTGTCCAAATCTTGTTCGTACCAATTGATGACGGGGAGATCGTCACGCTCCAGTTCGGCGTCGGATAATGGGCGCATTGCTTTATCCATCCTTTCGTCGTCATCGAATATGGATCGCGAGCCCTTGATACGCTCCAGTACCGATGGGCTTGGTTCTACGTCGACATTGTGGCGTGCTTTTTCATCTTTGGTGGCTTTGGAGCGTTTTCCACGAAGAAACTGGGCTGGTAATGGACGGGCGAGTGGACACCTTCTAGGCTGCGGCCGCGAGAGGGCTCGAATCAACGCCTTTGAAGGAACATATGCTCGTGAAGGCGCCATGACTGTGACCAGTCTTGACTGGGATGACGATGTCAATCAGTGTCTTGGAGATTTTTGGGCATGGCTGCAAACAATGCAAACATTCTCTTGGCACCTCCGAGAACTCCGCAGACAGCGCTAGGCCTATTCGGGTCTCTCTCCTACATTCTATTCACAATTGTTCACTGCAACACTGTTTGAGGCTTTTTAACGCCGTATCTTGGCCTATTTATCAACAATCAAATCGTTTCTTTTTTAATTCTATATGCTATTGGAATATAACTTGCATGAATAACTTGGGTCGTACCAGCCACCACTAAGGAGTCTTCCATACCTAACACCTGCCTCAATGAGATGCCTTTCTCCACTCGCTGATAAGACACTTCTCTTCCTAATCTCTACTGCAAAGTATAATAGATGCTGTCAAAGCAACAATCAAAGCCACGGCCGATGATGTAGGCAGTTCACCCTTTACTAAAATCTTCTCAAACTGGTCTGCTTCAACTGTAGCGGGTGCCACATTCTCCTCACTGCTCGTGGTTGAGTAAACATTTTGTGGTTCGTGGCATTCCATACCGTTTGATACATCCAAAATGGTGAGTATCGCCAGGAGGAAAGGAAGGTAGCGCATGATGAAGAGTGAGTTGGTTATGATAAACAAGGGTGATTGAGGCAAGGGTAGATGATGAATGCAAGAATACGGAAAAAGATGGAAACATAGATATAGAGATCTCTTGATACATTGTCGAGCTACCATGAGTACCTTTATAATTCAACTCCCGACATTTGTAATTCACAGAGTTGAAGCGTATAGTGACCTATCTATGGTGAATTGTAACATTGTATACAGTGACGGGCCCTGTGACGGTAGGACACTATGAACCTGCTGCTCTGTCGCGAAACAGTACACTCCATGCATAATTTGACTTGAGTGAAAGATCGGTCAGGTTTACAGTCATGCAGCGAAAGCTCTCGTGTACCATATTGCGATGGCTATGTCGGCACAGAGTAGCACTTGGAAATAGTATCTTGTTTGATAGCGATTGGAAAACGATCCCCCCAATGGCACAAAGATTTGCCATCGTTCTAAGTATGTGGGCCTTTGTAAGCCGAATAGTGTATGTCGTAAGTCACGCCATATGATGGCGCATTGGTCGCCCCTCTCTTATTTTGTGTTTCGAATTCCCGATGGCTTCAAAACCATAGGTAAAATACATGGGCATACATTGAAACTTTTCGAAATATGTCCATACATACAGCTGGCTTGTGTGATGAGTTTCACATACCATTGGGCTTCGATACATCGCTCATTGTAGCGCACGTAGTGAGGGAGGTTGGTGGGGAGCACCTCTTCCGCTCACAAGGCCCGTTTCTTCGATTACATGACGCAGTATGACAAGCACTGCAAACAAGTGCTGACTGTACCGGAATTTTCCGCCTGCGTAGGCTGCACAATCCTAAGGCATGGGTTTAAAGTTCTGATGGCTCCTCAGTCTTGCGTACACCCTAGCAGCTAGCATGTATGAAGCTCTCCCTTCGTACCCATGGACACTGTGCCGCAACCAACAGCCGAACTCGATCACTCAATGTACTACAAGCTCTCTTATATCTCCCGCTACCCTGTGGTTTGATTGAGATCATGATACGATCTCAAATGAAGACTACTGCGAGAAAAGGACTATATAGTTCACAGGCACACGATCAAGAGAACAAAGTGCACTAACGACATAAGAATATTCTTAGTAAGATCATCATGCTACCCCTGCTCATCCATGGGCTACTGAATACTATTTTTAGTTCACGAGTATGTCATTACTGTATTTACATTCGAAGGTTGCATTTACTCTTGAAAGTGTATACGCGCCTCAGATGCTTTGCGGGCAACAGAATTGGAGAGCGACGCGTGCAGAACAAACTACACGATGAACATTATAGGTATTGGCAGATAGTTTATTTTCCTGACGAGAAGGCGCAAGTATGAAGCGCCGTGCTGCTAACTACTTGCACCAATCATGCCTCCTGATACCAGTACTAGTCCTTACAGAGTTTCTTCCCCGCTATTGAGCTTTGGACGTTGCAAGTTCCACTCTTGCTTGATCCATTACCCATGTGCCTGAACGATCAGTATGCCAATCACATGCTTATGTACCCGGCTCACCCCTCACCTTTTCAAGCCAATTTTGTACTTGAAATAGCTTAGCAACATCTGTTTTTGTCGGACCTGCCTCTTCAGGCTTCACACTCTAAATTCGCATTCATGGAATCGACGTCATGCGATGATCTGCATATCGGATGGGTTACCACTCGGTGACAAGCTCCCGAGATCTTTGCAAGGATATACTCACGTGTGTTTTCAACGCTTGGCAATCCTGTGTGACGCGGATTAATACCACCAAGCAGAAAAGCGATAGTACGTTATGCGCAGGGGTGGATACAGTTATCGAATGCTCTAAATGAGCTCGATCCCGGAGAATAGCTCTCTTCAAGTATACTACACTAGCGCCTCCCCACCATCTTTTTGTCGATCCCTGCCCCGGCTATATTTTGCGGGTAAAGATTACGCCCGAACAGTCAGGAGTAGAAGTTTAAAATCTGGGTTCTCGATTTCAAGAGGCTGATTTGTGGTTTAATCTCGAGCTAGTTTGGTGTAATCGACCCTGCAATACACCACCCCTGGGTTATTGCAACGATGCGCTTTACTCGTGACCGCCTAAGATGCAGTCTTACGTTCCGTCAATGAGCTCCCAGCAAAGCGAAAAAACTATAAATATGGTGTGTTCTGGAATTTGCGCGGAGTTGCCATAGCGGATTGCATCACACATCTTCATAATGCGCCTTTTCACTGTCGCAGGTCTGAGCCTTTTGGCTTCAGTCGCGACCGCATCGCTGCAGATTGTACCAGGAGCCACGTGGACTGCAGTATGTTAATTTATCGGCACGGAGTCAACTTTGACTAAATTGTACCCAGACAAACATCGGCCAACATATCCAAGCTCATGGCGGGGGTATGATCAAAGATGGCGGAAAGTGGTATTGGTACGCCAAATGGTTTAACATTGTGCATACCCTGATCCGCGACTAACGGCTTCCAAGGGTTGGTGAAGACAAAACGAATGGCAGTGCTTTCCAGAACATCAACTGCTATTCATCGAGCAACCTTGTAGAATGGACTTATGAGGGCGCTATTCTTTCGCGCACCGCATCCGGCGACACGGGCCCCAACCGTGTCATCGAGCGACCAAAAGTAATCCACAACAAGAAAACCGGCAAATATCTGCTTTGGATGCACATCGACAGCTCGGATTACAAAGATGCAAAAATCGGTGTAGCGATTGGCGACACCGTTTGCGGAAAGTATACTTACCTGCGGAGTGAGAGACCACTTGGATTCGAGAGCCGAGACTCGGGCGTATTTGTCGATGATGATGGAAAGGGCTATTTACTGACAGAGGATGTACAACACCCCCTTATGGCTTCTAGATGTCTACATATTACTAACAAAGGTAGCGCGCAAACGGTCTTCGCATCAATGCCCTTTCGGACGACTATCTCAACGTCACAACAAACGTCTACAAATGGGCTGAAAAATACGAATCACCGGCTGTGATCAAGAGCAACGGTGTATACTTCATGTTCGCCTCTCAACTCACCGGCTGGAACCCCAACGACAACTACTACAGCACCGCAACCTCTCTTTCCGGCCCGTGGTCCGCATGGAAAAAGTTCGCAGACTCAGGATCCAACACGTACGCGTCTCAGACCACCTTTGTCCTTCCCGTCGGCAACAGCTTCATGTACATGGGCGACCGATGGCACAGCGAAAACCTCATGCGAAGCACATACATCTGGCTTCCACTGCAAATCTCCGGCACAACTGCCACCATGAAGAACGCGGTGAACTGGATTATCAATCCCAGCACTGGCGCCATGACTGCGGGGCCCACCGAAAACTCCTACGAGGGCGAATCCGCAACTCTGGCCGGCGGCGCACGCACAATCTCATGCTCTTCTTGCTCGGGTTCGCAATCAGCGGGGTACATTGGCGGTACATCATCTGGCGTTATCACGTTTGCTAATGCCCAGTCTTCGGCTACGACACGCACTACGCTTAGGATCAAGTATCTCAATGGTGATAGCACGCAGCGGTATGCGGATGTTACCGTCAATGGGAAGACGCAAAAGGTGGCGTTTGTTCCGCATGGTGGAGGCGATCCAGGTAGCTCGGTTGTGCATGTTGATTTGAACCAGGGCAGCAATCAGATTAAAATTGCAGGAAACAATGGAGGGTGGGGGCCTGATATTGATAGGGTGTTTGTGCCTGTCAATTAAGTAACGACATATGGTGCGGTACTCCACGAAAAAGATGCGTCTACGGAATAGAGTCAGGCTCGGGCTAAGGAAGTCAGAGATGTATATATAATTTAGCTGAGCCATAATTCTAACGAGATTTGGAGTCACATCTGCTCTTGAACATATTCACTGGTCATGTCTCTATTCTTTCTTCTTGATTTTCGAAAACATTTCTACAGATTGATGGATGTTTAACATGACGTGTATCTAATGGATATATTTGTTTAAATGACGAGCAGGCCCGCACTCGTCTAAGCACTCATAACTGGGTATTATGCACATGTAAAGGCATAGCAAAAGCGAAGAAAAAGATGTCTCAGCCGCAAAAATCGCTTATGCAGTGAAGCTCCTCGCCTTGACCGATCGCGCAGCAGCCTTGGCAGCCATTTTGGAAGTGACGAACTTGGCCGCCTCGTTCGCATTTGCGCCATACGACAGATGGGGTGGCAGGATGATAGCTTGACCCGCGCAGATAAGATCGCCAGGTGCACAGATAACCTTTGTGTTTGCAGCGGCGACTTTGCCGACGGCCTGGCCGTTGTCTGGGTCGCCGAAGATGACGGCGCTGGAGACAAAGGCAGAGTCGTCAGCGCTGAGCATGGCAGCTGCGTTGTGGACGAGTTGACCTCCCTGGCTTTGGGACTGTTAGTATACATCTCGATAATCTCATGAAACTATGAAAGACGAGAAGAAAGACTTACGAGTATCCTGCCATGACCAGTGTGGTGTCGGGGCACTTTGCCTTGACTTGTCCAACCATCTGCGCCATCAACTTGCTGCCACCTGCGTCACCGCCAACAAGAAAGCCAGGTACATCTGCTGGGTACTCGATACCCTGGACGGCTACGTCTCCGCCCATCATTGCGCCGACAGCACTGACGAAAGGTGGACCTGCGACGGTGCCCATGTTGCCGATCTCAGTAGTACCACGGGCGAAGAGAATGGTCATGGCTTTGCATGCACCTCCATTCTTGACGTCGTTTTGGGTGGATGATATAAGAGCGGCCGATGCGGCTGCCGGGAGAAGAAATAGGGCTGACTTCATGTTGATATTCGTGTGTATTGGATGATTGATATCGTAGAGTGGAATATGTATATTAAATACTAAATAATATTCAATGATTGAGGTAATTGAATAAGTGTTGCTCGCTAAGAAGAAGCTTAGATGAAGATGAGGCTCTGGTCTAATCTTCCACGGTCCATCCTCCCTTCTTATAAGATGGCCTGTTGCATCTACATTTGAAGCTGCCGAGGCAAATGCGATATTCCAAGACTTTTCGACTCGTGTTATACAAGCAGACATGTTTCCAGTTGCCGTCCAAGAACTCATCAAACGTCATGCCGCTCTTCAAATAGCCCAGTCGATAGCTGCCAGTCTGTTCTTGAGACATATTCTAAGAGCTCTTCCCTGTCGATTGAGGCTCCCTGGAACTATCCTCAGTATGGAGCTGAGAGCGGTAGGACTACAGGTTGGCGGTTGTAGCGGCATCACTAGCGTGCTTTGCGGTATGTAATGCCGGAATATGGAGCGCCTTGTTTGTGTGATGTGTAGCATGGGTGGAGTAGGTAAAACAGGCAAAAGGTTAGCGGGCTCCACAAACTCGATCTCGTGTAGAATACGTGAGACCAATTGGCCAAATCTCATGGTCTTAGGGTCCAATTAACGCCGCCTCTAGCATGGCGGAATAGAGTATACTTGTACCAACTTTGGAAACTTCGCCAACCCTATATCAAGAAGACTTATCGGCTCCTAAGGAATCATTCAAGACTTTACGGCAGCATTGGCAACCTCGGCATGTGGCTAAAATAGTGCGCCACGCGACTGAGAGCTGTCGCGGGGGTCGTTCAACAGTAGCGGTTTCAGCCAGTCGTTCCACGTTTTCAGCTTTCGGATCAGATTGCGTTTTACAACAGAGTATGTGTACACAGTCACTCAGGTTCACGGAAGCATCAGCTTCCGAGAGTGATCTGCTGGCCTTGTTGGCGTAGTGGGGACCGTGTTTTGGATCTGCGAGGCTTGGTGAGCTTGTTCAGGCGACAAGGCTGCGGGTACCGCTGGACACGCGATCTTGTGTAAGATTGATGGTTCAGAGACACCAAGGTTTCGAGACATTGAAGTTGGAGGTTAGATCTAGTCTCATCTCAGAGGGCGGGTGAGCTGTGGTGCGATGCGGTGCGAAGCGATGCAATGATGTAATCGTACGCGGCTATTGATGAAGACAGAATAACAAACAGCCAAACACATCCACATTCATTGGATCTTCCAGATAGCTTACAAAGGAAAGAAAAGGTCGCATGTTTCCACGAAGGTTTTGGTATACATGCCTACGGGATATCGGCAATGATAGAAAGGCAAAAGGGCGTAATCGCCCGCTTTGGCTTCGGAGTAGAGGGCACCGTTTTATGCGCTAGTAGTGAGGAGAGGTCTAGCCTAAATAAGCAGGCATCCATCCCTTTCATACATTCCCTGATGAAGCCCAGTCAACACAGCTTTCTGGCACTTGAAAAGTAGCCTGCCATAGTTCGATAGCTTCTACATCAGTCTTCACTAGTTCTCTTCCTGGTTCAGTACTCTCTTCTTCGGTTTCTATTCCGATATTGCCAATCTCAGCCAATCTAGCCTTGTAATTGATGAAATCTCTCAGAATGAGCACCACTCCCCTATCCGTCTCTCGTCTCTCATAGATCATACTTTCTATGTGCGTGGTTTGCTTGTCGTCCCGAGGTTTCAGCATCTTCACCAACCCATAGCCATTTGCATTCTGCCAAAACTCGTATACGCATCCACCAGAGAAGATGCGGCTCATTGAGGATGAGTACAAGGCAGTTGTTTCATGAAAAATGCGGGGTTTTTGAGAGTTGCTGCCGTATTCTGAGAGGAATATTGGTATGGGGGTGCCGCTGAATCTGTGAAGCTACACCATGGGGTTAGACGGTGTGAACAATGTCAGGATAATCAAGGCCTACCAAATCATCATAAACGGGTTTAGTCACATTTGAAAGCTCCTTTAAGTCATAGCTTTTACACTGCGGTATGCATTAGTGCCTAAGATTCCTTTAACTCGTAAAATAACACTCACCGTCCAGAAATCAATCGAGGTCAGATCCTCTCCAGCAGTCAGATACTCCAGCACTTCCTGGTCCCTTTCACTGCTCGTGGCCGCATTGTATCCGATAGGGAGCATGCGTTGCCCACGAGCTTTGTTTTGGATTTTCATGTGCTTCTTCAGATCTCGCACGACGGCTTTGAGAACAGCTGCTGCGGGCAGTGTAACATCATTGTTGATCACTTCGTTGCCAGACAAAATGCCCAGCGTATTCGGAAAGCTAGCCATTATGTTTACTGTTTTGAAGAATGATGCCATGGTGACGGGGTTGTAGGACTTGATTGGAGCCAGACGGCTAATGGGATTCGATGGTGTTGAGACAGCCTTAATGGAAGCATATATAGTCAGTTCAATATGCATGTAGCGAAACAAAAAGATTATGCATACGGTGAGAACGTATATCCCTACTTCTTCAAGTAGTTTCATGGCCTGGGCATGGTCTTTTGTATTGTCGATGAAATCTTAACATACAAGTCAGCTTCGTTACTATTCTAGTTGCCGGTGCGCCTACAAACAAAGAGTGTGTTTAGCCCGAGCTCCTTGAAGAGAAGAATATCTTCTCGGAGTTCCGCTAAGCGATCGTCCGAGATGGGGTCAAGTGTAGAACGCACTTGGTATGCAACGCCTCTTACGAAAAACTTTACCCTTAATATTAGATTTAGTGACATCGAGCGTCAACGAGGCGAAACTTACTCGATCATCACCCTTCCAGAAGAAACGCCCACAAATGCGTACAGGAGGACAGGCGATACTGGCGCTCATGTTCAACAGATATACGACGGGTTAGCTAAACCAAAGTTGATTGATCAGAGTGATTGAAGGCGGAATTACCCAATGATCCAAAAGATAGACGGGTGAGAATAAGGCATGAGACCCAGTAGTGTATGGATGTAAAGGGGATGCGAAACGCTGCTTACTATGCACTAGGCGTTGTTTCCCTATGATGTCATGAATACTTCTATTCGCATGCCATATCTTTCGTGCGTGCCTCAGAACCCAAATCAATCTCGAGCTATGCCTCGTCTACATTATATAACGCCAGATTGGCAAACCAAGCCGCTCATGTACCACGCATCTTAAACATTAAAGTATACTTTTCTCTCAATACATAGTACAGTTGATGACTTTAAACTTGCTCACTCCCTTCGAATGAATTCAGATATTTCTTCCGCGTCTCTAACCCTATAATCGCTTAAATAACTCTAAACTGTAGATTTTAATGATAAACTAGGGTTATACAAGAGTTCTGCAAGTTCGCTTGCACCCCGCACTAAAAAGATACCCCTTGGCCGCTAATTCCGCATCAGGTGTTGGATACTCGGAGCCTCTTAACCCGCTCGTCGCTGCCTGGCACATGACTCATGTGCTTGCGCCCTTTGAACGTGGGTCAAATCCCGTGACGACAGCCTTATTAACGCCTCACACCCAAGCATCTGTATTAAGAAATTTCGATTTCCTATCCATCAAACTACAGCGTAGTCCGCTCAAATATTCCAATATGCCACTAGAAGTCCATCGCATCACGTCGCCAGACGACTTGGAAACTTTCGCAAGAATCCAGATTCTTGCCTTCGCAAGTGGGGGCGGCATAGCCTCTTTGCTCAGTCACGGACCCATGACCGAGGAACACGTCAAGAAATATACAGAGAGGCATGTCAAATCCTGGCGCGATGAGAAAGATGTTTTCTATCTCAAAGTGGTGGATACGGATGTCGACGGCGGCAAGATGATTGCTGGTGCAAAGTGGCGCATCTCCGAGAAAGAGAAGACGGAAGAGGAGGCGCAAAAGATGTACCCGACTCCTGAAGGAGACGATCTGAACAACCAGGCGCTAGTAGATTTCATGGCCTTTTTGAATAGGGCAAGGAAACAATATGTGAATACCAAACCTATTTGCTGTAAGTCGGCATCCATCGCAAGTCCAAGAGAAACTACGTACGCTAATCCCAATCAGTCCTACAAATCCTGGTAACAGATCCGGAGCATCACCGCAAAGGCGCAGGGTCTATGTTGCTGAAATGGGGTCTCAGCAAAGCTGACGAACTCGGTCTTCCGGGTTTCTTGGAGGCTTCGCCTATGGGTAAGCCACTGTATGAGAGGATGGGGTTTAGGACTCAGGAAACTGTGGTATTTGACTTGACGAAGTACGGGGCGGAGGGTGAGGACACAAACACGATTATGATCAGGGAACCATTACCAACCAAGGCGTAAGATGATAATGTGGAGGATACTATGAGTTATTTGCCAGAGCCTCTGTCGCACTGGCGAGTCATTAAAAATCCTCTATAATGAAATACACATTCAAAACGGAGACTCATTACTACGATGGCTGTTACTCATCAGACGATGATTACCTGACACACACAGCTACGTGTCTCTCCCGTAGTTTCCCAAGTCTCCTGGCAAACTCCAGTTTCGCATCTCTTTGACCAGGCATCGTCCAGTCCGCCAATTTCTCTAACTGCATCTCAGATAGCTCGCTCATAGTCTCCAGCACACTAAAGAACCGCTCCACCGTCTCCTTACTCTCCTCATAGTGTTGTTCAACCAGCACAGGCCGTATCACAACAAGAGACCTAATCTCCGCCGCTGCCTTTCCCACCAAAGAGAAAAAAACAACGGCACTGTGTATGCCGAAAAATCCGAGCTGAAACGTTGCGCACAGGTAGGAAAGCGTTTCAGCGCGGATCTGGCGACACATGCGAAAGATGGGGAGATGAAGTATCGTTGCGCCAAAATGTTCGGGCTTGTTACAGTTTACTAAGAGGATGGAGCCCATGTTGGGGTAGATGGTGTAGGCGTAGATTTGGTTGCGCAGCTCGCCTGGTAGATGGAGGAATGTGGCGCGGGCCGCTCTAGTAGGCTTCAGTGCGATTAGCAAATCTGCGCGTGTCAACATTTGGTGCAACGAACGTTTTGAGACCCTGGTCTTTCTTCTTTGCGTTTGGTTTGAAGCCATTTCTTGATTTTCATTTTGGCTGAATTACGGTGGAATGGGCCTGGTGTTGCTGTCGTTATAAAGGGTGCTATTGGTGGGCGCTTTGCCTGATTAGGACAGTTGCCTTGATCATCACCCAAGGTTTAGTAGTGGGAAGTGATTCGGGGTCTCATCGATGATAACTTCATCACACCCTTCTTCATACAATCGAGCTTCGGCGATGTTTGCGAAATTGAGGGCTCATGTTCGACATTCATCTTGCAGCCTTCCCTGTCCTGATGTCCCACGTTGACTTGCGATATCTTAGGCTCGGCTCGTAAGTTACGTTGCATCTTGCATGTAATTCGCAGCATCTGAGCTCACAGACATGTGGTCACGTTTAACCAAAACAAAACGCTGTATTAAGAAAAATCTATGTACATCAGAGAGTTACTAATACTCATTCATCCTCATCCTCCTTTTTCCGCTGACGATTAAGCTCATCAATTACCTTCTTACCACATGCCAATACCTCCATCGTCCGACTTTTGTTGTCATGATCCCTCGTCTCAGGAACCAAGAAGTAAGTTGTCACTGCTCCAGCAAGCATGAACGCACTCATGACCTGCAGAACGTGTCCGAAATCCCGACGTTCCTCCCATTTGAGGTTGCCTCCGCCGCCGTCTTTGCCAGTTTGGAAGGCGTACGCGATGAAAATCTGCACAACCCATGATCCCAGCTTTCCAGCTGCTGCAGCTATGCCGTGACAAGTACATCTGTATCTTGTCGGGAATATCTCGGCAGGGATTATGAACGTGGTTACGTTTGGTCCGAGGTTGAAGGCAATGTGACTCAGCACATAGAGAATGATGAGTCCGGATCGGCTGTTGTCCAACAGCGTTGTCCATGCACTTCCAGTCACGATGAAGAGTACGAAAAGTACTACGAAGCCCCAGAACTGGATGACTTTTGGCGAGACGTACTTGACGATCTTGATCATCAAAAGGCCGCCGACGACTGTGCCGATGGAGACCATGACTAAAGTGTGTTTGCTGTTGCCGCTCAGGGTCGCATATACCGACTGCTTTCTATCGGGATTCTCTTCCCATATATGGCTGACGATTTTCGGCGATGAGAGTCCCAATCCGTAAACTGGCACGTTAGTGGTGGTTCAAATGCGCTATTTCGGCCCACTTACATGCAAAGTCAAGGAAAAGCCAGGCCAAAGATGTCCCCAAGAGGTAATGCCAGTTCTTCTCTGTGATGAAGAAGTTTCTAGCGTCTGCCCACGAAGCGAGTGGAGGAACGAAGTCAGGGTCACCAGGTAATGGCTGTGCCGACTGAGGCTCATGCGGACGGTTCCCTTCGTTGCTGTTACGGTGCTCAGATTCGTCATCGCTGTAGACGATCTCATCAGGCGGTATACCCGAGGAGGTAGATGAACGCCGTGACATTGGCCTGGCTGGAGCTGAATGTTGCACAATGTTCCGCATCTCGGCATCACCATTCTCTGGGTTTATCTCTGGCGCGCCAAAATAGTTTGCGGTATCTTCAAGAGTTTCCTTCGTATTCTGCAATATGTCCAGTGTGTACCTTGGACTTTCGGGGATCGTGAACCGGAAGGCAAGAGCAATGGTCGCCGGTATAACACCGATACCTATTACCAACCTCCAAAGTCGATCGATTGCGCGGAAGCATTCCAAGTCTTCATCCCGGCATGCTGGTAGTTCTTTCTCAATCCACGGTTTGTATGCTTCCACTGCTGCTAACGATAAGACATTGGCGAGCAACTGTCCAACAGGTTGAGCGAAGAAGACCCAGCTCAACATGCGTGCGCGGTGTTTTCGAGGTGCAAACTCAGCAGTGATAACCTAGATTCACAATTAATACATGTTCGTCCAGAAGAAAATACAGTACCATACCGCACTTAATGGATAGTCGGCACCAATGCCAACCCCTACCTGGTGTCAGTGTACTCTATTTTGCGTCAACAAGGTGTCTGCGTACCCATGATTGCCCGCCAGGTGATCAACCACCCTCCAATTGCCATACTGTTTTTCTCGCCGTTGGAGCTCATCAATAGCAGCATGGTGCCGACTATGATAATCACCAACTCGAGTCCGTACATTTTGCGTCTTCCAAGAAAGTCTGCGGCGATGCCAAATCCTATCTGTCCGAGCATCGTAGCAGCAAGTGTTGAACACATCATGGCAGTCTTGACTTCTGATGGTACATTTGGCATACCATTGTCGAGGTTACGCGGCCAGTACACATAGCCCAGCATTGGGGTAACAACATTCAGGGCGAACAGCCCGAATGCGTCGGTCAAGAAGCCTATGCCCGCGACTACAACCACCCAGATCTGAAAGGGCGCGGCATCGATCGTGGCCAGTGTCCATCGCCGCCGCCTTACTTCCTTACAGAAACGTCAGTCAAATGAATGAGATGACTCGACTTGATACCAAGACTTACAGGAATACCACTGCCTCCAGCTGTGAGGTCCTCTACACCGATTTGATGACCTTTGATTGGCCGCGTAATCCAATTGCGAAGACCCATGGTCACGTGGAGATGATCTCCAACAAGATGGTCTCACTATTCAAGTATGTCAGATAAAGAAAAGATCAGTTGTATGTTGCATCTGCAGCAAGTTCGGCTCATGACTGCCTTAATCATATCGCAGATGAGCAAAGCCTCAGCCACATTTACAGAGCATGCCGCACACAAATGACTAGATGTGTGCACTGCCCCATTTAACAAGGCAGACCGGTCAACGGAAAGATAGCCTACGTGGACCGACACTGCTCTCTCAGTTGCTACACTGGCGAGCAACCCGTTCCCGCTCGCCGAAGTCAGACTTGGTGGCGCTCATGGCTGTATCGAATCACGCTTAAGTCTGGATTAAGATGGCTAGGGTTCAGCGGTCACCACGAATGGAAAGGTGTATCGTTGCCTGCATTGCCTTCGCACTCGACACGGAGGCACCTCCAGCAGTGTTGGATTGGTGGAGCTCAGGGCAAAGGGGCCATGGAGATACGACTATTCCGCAAACCAGTCTCATGGAACTAGAACCCAGCGCATGCATTTTCGTGGGAAAACCACGCTGTTCCGGGTAATGAGGCGCGAGGTTGGGATGGTCGACGATAGCCGTTCGCTTCCCCACGTGTTGTTGTTCGACGTCTCATTGCACGTTGGGCGTCCAGTCTTGGTAGCGCCACATGTATCAACACGACCTCCTCTGTCCTCTGACCAACTCACGATGGGCAATCTTGTCGTCCCGTCTTGCAAGGCTTCGACAAGCGTGTGCCTGGCGCAATCGGTCGGCAATCAATATGCTGAGCCACCCCCATATGCCGCAACGGCCTCGCTTTGGGACAGCCTGAACCCGCGCGTGCTCACAAGACGGGCGCAAGCTCAGGCGACACTGCCTACAATACTGTCACCCTCTTCTGAGAGCCTTGCGCTTCCTCTACGTTGCACTCTACTGAATACGAAAAGTTCCCTGTGCATGAGCAAACCCTACACTGTTAGTGTTGCGCCCCAGCGCGGCGCAAGACGACCACCATGTCTTTCGGATGCAGCCCATCAGATGTGTTGAAACTACTCGAGTTCTCCACCCGGGTATACCTTGCTTTCAGAGGTACGTCGCTTACCAAAATCGCATGACAAAGCTCGGGACACTGACCTATGCTTAGATGCCAACGAGAATTCGGAAGCACAAGTGGCAGGCCTGGTGAAGGAGTTCACTGCTTTTCACACCTGCTTGGTCGAGTTGGGTGAGTTGATGAAGCAGTATGGCCAGCCCATGCCTTTTCCCGTCAAGGAATTTGAGGCAACACTCAAGAGATGTGAAAAGACGCTCGACCCATATGCAGATCATCTGGTCGACAAGAAGATGGGCGTAAAGAAGTTCATCTTCACCATCAGATACATGGGCATGGAGAAAGAGATAGACGGACTGAGGAAGCAGATCACTGGCCACTACCAAGCCTTACACATGTGCATATCATTTCTACAACTGTAGGTTTCGGCATAATCCTCAGGATAGCATCTCAAGACTAATACTTCACAGTCGCTTACATCTCGAGGCAACCAAGCAAACTCAACGTCTTCTCGACGCCGCACCACCACGCACTGTAACCCTGGGAGGCCGTGCTTACTCAACCAGTGCACTGGGATTTTCATCCCAACATGCACCTCTATCACTGCCTGCACCAGACGAGCATCCACTTTTCAGCGAGTGGGTGATCTTTGATCGTTGGTTGCAGAGCGAGGATGAGCGCATCGCTAGAGAAGCAGAGCACTCTCGCCCCCTGTCATTAGGCGATACACCTGCTGCTCTACCAAGCGACGATGATCAGACTGCTGCTATACTATACCATCTCCGTCGGCAAGTTGACGATGCCATCCTGATTGAGGAAAACCGCACAAAACGCATGACTGCTGAGAAGCGATCGCATCTTTCGCCAAGCGACGCCATACGACAGGAGGTTCGCAACATGCCGCCAGCGCCTCCACGTACGTACACTCTGGATAGCGATCACTCTGGGAATTTTACGGGTTTTTTCCAGCATCAGATGCGCAGTTCTTCAGAAACTGCTGGGCCAAGTTTGAGCATCCCGTTGTCGCATTCGCCTCCAGCTATCAGCCCGCGTGGAGATTCATACTTTGGCTCCATAGACTGGGCTCAGTCTCCCACAGATACATCGGTCTCTCACGATATAGGCCGCACGACATCTGTTTCTACCAACAGGAGCAGCATGAGCCATTCTCCAGGATCGCAGCCACGCTCCCCGAGTGCCGACTTGAGCCCTGGGGGAACTATTCCAGAGACCCTAGCATCGTACAGTCTGCGCCGTAGTCTATCTCGCACATCCCTAGCAACCATGGCTCTAGGCGAAGCCGCACTCGACTGGAAGCGAATCTGCCGCTCTGTCGAAGTCGAGCGTAAATCCGTCAAATACGGAGCCGAAAGCCGCGACTGCGACGTCCGATGGCGATACCGCGAAGACACTGGAATATCAATCCGCGCCGTATACCACTCCAGCCAAGACGG